GTTGCTCAGGTGGGAGCGCCATTGCATGGCAGCAGAAGAAGCGGAGGAGAATGCGTGGAACGTTTTTAGATGTTTTTGGCCTCATGTGGGAGTGGGTGAAAATTAAACCACCAGGGAACCGCAGGTTTTGGTCCATGTGTCCACTAGGGTTCCATTTGGGGGTTACCCTACTTTTGACCCACAGCCATGTCAGCTCCACATCTTTACTGCAATGCAGTGCGACAGGGACCTTGAAAAGCAGCCGCCAATAGGAGCGCAGGCGCCGCGCGAACCGCACCAAGCCCAGCGCCGTGCATTCGTGTTTGTTGGACGGCCGTTGGAGCAGATGTTCAAATGGCCATGGTTGGTGGACATAAAACCCAACCTAAATGATGTCGACCACAGGGTCCCTAAATAAAATTCATGCTCGTTTTGAGCCTCAAGTGTCAGGCCTGGCGGGGATGCTGGAGGAGAAGACCAGGAAGATGCTTGAGCAGGGGCCTTAGACCCATGCCCTGAACAGCTGGAAGCGAGAGGAGGAACATAGGAACTTCCGCGAAGTGAGATGCAGCAGTTGTTGGCGGGTGCTTAGCACCACGCAGGTTTGCCCGGCAGCATGCACCAACATTTGGGTAATTGCCGCGGTCGCTCCTAAGGAAAGAGGCTGCAAAAAGGCGGAAACAGCGAGAGGCGCGCACCGTGCATTCCAAGTTGGCCACCTGCATATCTGTGTGAGGATGAAAAGCAGCAGCATAAAAGAGAGAAGGACAGGGCGAATCAATGAACTTGCCAAGACCCCATCCGGACTGTCAGGCATTGCACACAAATCGTTGTCCATAGATACACTTACCCCACATACTGTGCATTTACAGCGCTGACAAGAGCAAGAAGCATGTATGCTATGTTGTCAAGAGCGGATGTCATATCTTTCATATTTGGACTTGCGCAGGCAGTTGAAGACAGGGTTCTATTTTGACCATTTGCAAACAGACTTAAACCAAGGATTTCCCTTTTTGGGGTGCATGATCCACCCCTGTGTTTAAGTCATTGTGGGGGTAGTCAAAAAGTGGAACCATGGTTGAAGATATTGTCCGGCAAAGTTGCGAGGAAAGAATTTCCATGCACTTCGGACGTCCCAGGAGCAGAAGAAGCAGGAGAAGATGCGCAGCTGCTTCCCAAGCCGAGGGATGGTTCGGTTCTTTCTTCGTTTTGCTGCGTGGGTGTATTGGCCCCCTTCGCACACAAAAAAAAGAGTGTTTCTTAGGCTCACTTATGCTCATGCGACTCATGCGCCGACGGGCGCAGTCTTAACTGCAGCCATGATCCCTGTCATCATGTCATCCAGCCTGCCCACTCCCCCCCAAAAAAACAAAAGAAGGAGGAACAGGTGCAGAGTTGGCAGGGTTTCTTTAAAAGATACATTTTGCCCATTTGAAACATGGTTGTTTCCACCGAAATCAAGGGAAACCACCATTGACAAGGCAATGTTCAGGTGTATAATGTAAGGATCCCTGTTGGGCTGTCAGTCCACCTGAGGCGAAGCCGCCAAGATGTCCGAGAAAATCCGGAAGATGGCTGAGAGCGGCGCGGACCCTGAGCGAGGATGACTGCAATCGGCACATTCGAGCACATTGGGCATCAGAACGCCACTGGCTGCAAACATACGTGTTTTTTCCCCGTTTTTGTATTGGCAGAAAAATAGATGGGTTTCCCTGGTTTTCCTGGTGACTTAATCATCTACCAGAGAAACCCATCTATCTATTTCCCCTAGAAGGACACCTATGGCTGCGAACCGGTAAGGATATGCCTTGGGACCGAGTGGCTGGGTGAGCCCCCGCCTCGGCAGTGGCGCACAGTGGCACATGCGCATTACACAGCGCACATGTCCTGGAGGAATGGATTGGCTTTCTGGGCCGGATGTAGGCGAACCAAACTTGGAGGTGGGGACTTGCCAGCCGAAACATGGATGCCACGTTTGGATGTTTGATTAATGCGGCCGCTGAGATCATAAAGGGTCCGAAGATGGAAGAGGCGGACCGCATGTAATCAGTCACACATTCAAATGAACCAAGCCATTTGCAGGATGAGGAAAGCGAACCCGAAGGCACCTGCCGTGCAGTTGCCACAGTTGCCACATGATGGGGGGCGTTCTTTGAAAGCCGTTTTGCGGAAGGCGATCTGAATGTTCTCGACGATCCATACGAGGCCGACCTGTAAGTCAAAGGCATCCGTGTGAAACGAGCCCGTTCACTAGGTGATTGACCAAAGACCGGAGCAAGTAGAGCTTGACGAGAGGGTCGACGAGGAGGAGGGATTTGCCACGAGTCGAGCAACACAAGCATGGCCACTGCCATGGGCAGTGCCAGGCCATCCCCTTTGAAGATGTGCTGGCCAACTTGGACAAGCAACAGATTGAAGGTGCTGTCCTTTTCGCGCATATGACATTTAATTTCAGAAGCGCCATTGGTTTAATGCTTGAACATTGCCGTTTATTCCGGCAAAGGACCCAAAGAGACACTGAGAGGGAGCAAGTACAAACTCGTGTGGTTTTGCCAGCGCCCCTCCAGTTAATCATGAGCAGTTATTCTACGTCCGCGGGTGCAACCGCATGGTCTCAGACCGTCGATCTTCTGCAGGCTGGGCCTCTGGTGCCCAAATCGGAGATCTGGATGCTGTGTCCGGGCCTGAAACACACGATAGGCCATGGCATGCGAACGAGGCTTCAACGTGCATGATCGTGTCAAGTCTTCTGATTTGGCTGTATGTGGCTTTTTTAGGAGACCCCCAAAGATGACGGTTTTGCTGTTGGTTCCCACTGACATCCCACAATGAGGGGGGACCAACTCCAAAAAACAGACGAGCCACCCAGGACCCAAATCTGGGTTAGCAAATCCCCATGCTCAATGAACCTGAGGCTAAGCATAGTGGAAGCAGATGAGCAGCGAGATATGGCTGCGGCTTCTGCCGTGCAAGTGAGGCCAGCATAGATCGATCTCAGATCGACTGAAGACACAGAAGCTCGCCGTATCCAGTGTGAGCAAGGGGTGCGCTTGTGGTTACTGTGAGCACATGCGGTGAGTCACGGCCGTTGCTTGGATGGCAAGGCAGAGAAGTGCTAATCAAGTTTTGTGGGTGTGGCTCAAAGTTAAACAGGAGGGGTTACGCGAGTGTTGGTCCATGTTTCCACTTACCAGGGTTCCATTTTGGGTACCAGTTTTTCGAGCCACTGCCAAATCCTTTGAGCACCTTGGACGTTTTCAGTGCGCTTTGAAATGCTAGCCCCGCAGGCAGTCATACCAGGAACTTGGCAAGATCGAGGAGGAACAGGACACTTCTATCTGAAGATGGTAGGAACACCCGTGCAGCAGGCATTTTGCAGGTGGCAGGCATTCACAGCAGCTCTACCATCAATTGCGGAGGGAAGAGCATTCAAATCCCAGGATGGCGTGCCAGCAGACGCCACAGAATCCGCTGCAAGAGTCCTGCATGCAGCCAAGTCTCGCCGGTGCGCCGCTTAGCGTCGGCGGTCCGACTTGCGCCCGGCCGCACGTTGCCCAGGCCGGACGCGAACTTTGGAGAGGCCATTACCCAGGAGAGCGCATTGAAGTGCGAGTCCCCAGCGAGCCAAACGCTGCCATCGAGTCAAACGCATCGCCTGGAGCAAGTTGTGCGTTGCTTGTGCCGAGGCCGTTCAATGACTTTGTCGAAGAGAAGCAGGAAGGATTGAATTCCTACGAGGAGCGGAGATCTTTGTAGCCTGACGCGTGAACCGTCATACGAAAGGAAGCCTACAATCCAACGTTTAAATGTTGGATAGATAGTTTGCATAAGCACAGTCCGTGCTCTCGGATGCAGCAATGCAAAGGGATGGAAAGTAGCATAGCAGCTTAAGCAAACAGCTGCAGGAGCGACAAGCTCGATCTGCTGCTATCCAGGCAAAGTTGCAGGCTGGAGAGATTTGGAGGGTTTTGAGGGCTGGAGCACCCTCAACGCATCCTGCTTTGAAAGGGTGACTACTAAGTACAAGTATGACATGCTTGTCCCGCTAGCTGTAGCAAGCCTGGCCAGAGGAGGCTGCAATAGGGTACGCAGCCATTGTAGAGCCTCAAGCGAGGCAGCACGCAATCGCATGTCCATCGTTCGCTACGAGAGGGCTGGCTTGTGCCTCAGTCACTCTTAATGAGCCGCTGGGCTTGTGGCAATCCTGGTGGTTGGACACTGGGCCGACACAGTCTCGCTGTTCTTGATGGCTGGGTTGGTCAAAACCAAGGGTACCAATTTCGGGTAGGTGCACCACCCATTTTGGTCTATTCTACTGGGGATTGGGATGTTCACTAGGGGTACGGGGTTTTCACCCATAGCCACATCAGCAAAATGCGTGTCTCCCAACGTTGGCCTTTCGGACCATGGCAGAGCTAGGCGCAGCACCTGAGAAGCCAAGCCAGGGCCTCAGCCCTTGACTGGAATGGCCCACCTGTAGCAAGCGGATCTGAGGCCCGGCGACGCCGCAAGCCAAACCCAAAGCCAAGCCCAAGCCCGTGGCGCCACAGAAACCGGCCGGGAGCCTGAGAATGACATTTGGGCCCATCATGGCCCATCCATTCTGGCGTTATTCAGTTCTCGGGTAGAGGACGTTTGTCGCAGGGTGCGATGTCAGGGCTGGAGGTGCAGACCGCAAACCTGCAGCATGCGAGCAGTTGCGCCAACGCACCTGGGTCGTTCTTAAGTTCGCCATGCTTGGTACTTGACGTCAGTCTCTGGGTGGATGTTTGTCCCTGAGAACCCCTCGGGGCCCCATGTCGCATGGAAAGGCCGTTTTGTCGCACTGAATCTTGGCTCAGCGCGCCCGGAGCTCCGAAGCTCCGGTGGGCAAAGTTAGGCTAGGCCTGGTCAGTTCGAGGGCCCTGCGTCCCGTAATGAACCGCGGGCGCCATTTTAATCCGCAAGGATTGTTGTTTCTCGCCATTGCCAGAAAAAATACGCCAGGAGTTTTTGCTTGCACGAACATCAATTGTGCCTGGCCTCATTGATAGGGCTTGTGGGCTTTTCCTTGGCCGGGCCCCGACTGATGTGCAGCCATGGGCAACTTGTGCCGCGCCGGCATTGAAGCCGCGCGTTTTGTCGATACAGCCACGCGCATGGCGTGCCCGCGATCCCTCGTAACTGAGGATCATTCCAGGTGAAACCGCTTTGTCTGGCCGCATCTACAAGGACTGGAGCAGGGGATGCCCTGCCTTTTTCGCAAAGCATTTTGCCAAGCATGTTTTGTGGCCATCCTCAACGTCAACAAGAACGGCACTGTCATTTGCTCAGGAGTGGTTAGCTCACCAAGGCCTGGATGGGCTAACCCCTGAATCTGCCAAAAGCTCAGACTGCAGCTAGCTTGCTGGCAGAGTTGTGCATGCCTGTGTGCAAATAAGCGTGAAGCCTGCCGGAATGCATGCGCGCGCGAGTGCACGCTTGTGCTTGCGTCAATGTGCAAGTTGTGCAGTGGATTGCGCAAGGGTCGGTGGGCTGGTGGGCTGGCAGGGTGTGTGTGTGTGTGTGGGCTAAGTTCCTACTGCGCCCGCGCAGTACCCGGCGAGAATGGCGCACACTTTTCACAAGTGTTCGACGTGTCATTCTTTTCGAGCAGAATATGACCAACAAGTTTTGGGTCTTCAGCCAGGTGCAGATTGAGTACTTTTCCGACTTTGACTTTTCGATTGTAGGCTTCGGGTCCTATTTCGACAGGCAGCTGCGACAGCTGTGACAGACAGGAACTGACAGCAGTCGGAAGCCCGAGGCTCCTGCCAATGGCCCGACCACAGCCCGAAGGACAGCTGACAAGCCGACCAGTGAAGCAGAAGCTGGAAGCCCTTGCCAGGCTCATCCATTGCCCACCCGCGACAAAGCTTATTTGGCTGTGCGACAAAACCAATGGTACCATTTTGGGGTAGGTGCGCCACACATTTTAGTCTATTTTAGTGGGGATTGGGATGTTCACTACCCATAGCCATCTCGGCAGCTGCGACAATTTGGCCTGACCTTCGCTGACAGCGGCTACAGTCCTGCCATTGGCTGGACTTGGACAGCTGTCACAGGCAGCCTGAGGTGTGGCCGAACCACAGGCTCCCCAAAGGCCTCAATTCAAGAACTCCTCCAGCACCCTCTGACTGATGCCCGACGGGCGGTAGTTAGAATTCTCCAAAAAAAGACCGTAGTTAACAAAACCACTCCCTTTCTTATTTCGGGATGCCCATGGTCATGGCTCGCAAGTGACGGCGTGGCAGTGACACGCAGTGGCAATCAAATTCTACGTGGTGACACGGATGGACTTGCGTGTCACCGCGTGTGACCTGCGTGTCACCTGCGTATCAGTATGTCCAGACCAGCAGAAGATCGCTGAACACAACGGTAGTTTTGCGGCGTCACTTTCGCGTGACTGCGTGTCACCCGCGCGTCGGAGCTTGGGATGGGGTAGGGGTACAAGCTCGGGTTCTAGTGTGGGAAGCAACGGTCGTGTTGGCCAACTACTGCCCTTTTTATTTAAGGGCTGCCGCCCTGTGCCGCCGGCCCCTGCTTGCTGACAGTGCACGTTGTTATGACAATTATGACTACGCATTTTTTGCCGGGTTTAACGGCACACTTAAAGCATATATGAAAAAGAAGAGCAGCACGACAGTGATGATGTTTTTGATGATGCATTTTTTACCCAACATAAGGGATGCTGATAATTATTACCATGCATTCGCATTATCGCCAGCAGTTATGATGATAATTGTTACTTTACATTTTTAGCATCACCAGCAGTTGTTCTGATAATTATGACGACGCATTCCCTCATCTCAAACAAGCCACTGCGGGATAAATTCGCATGACAATAAGCACCTTGTTGAATTTTACAAGAAGTGCCCCGGGTGCGTGGAAACTCGGGCAGCAAAACCATGGTGGGGGCCTTTTTTCCTTCTCAAGACTTCGAGGTATTGCTGTGGATGCGAAGTGTGGACTTTGTGCCATCGCTTCGTCTTCGCGAGAAGTAAGCCGTTAGGAACACCTCGGGATGCAATCAGATGGTGATGGTGATGATGATCATGATGATGATGATGAACTATGCACCCCCGGCATCACCAGCAGCTATTATGACAATCATGACTACGCATCCCAAGGGTCTAACCGCACACTTGATGAAAATGATGATGAACATCATGATGATGATGAACATGATGATGAAAATGGTGGTCATCAGATGACCACCACCATTTTCATCATCATCATCATCGTCATCAATTTCATCATGTTCATCATCATCACTACGCATCCTCAGCATCACCAGCAGTTAACGTTATCATATGCCAATTATCATGACAATCATGCAACGCATCTTCTGTATTTCCAGTTGGGTCTAACGGGACACTTGAAACGTATATGGAAAAGAAGAGCCACGGTTTTGATGATGAACATGATGAGGAACATGGTCATGCCACCATCGTCATTTTCATCATCACATCATCATCATGTTCATTCCTCATGTCATCATCCTCAGCAGCAGTTATCATGACAATCATGACATTGCATCCTCTGCATTTCCAGTCGGGTCCAACGGCACTATATGAAAAAGAAGAGCGCCACGAACATGGTGAGGAACGTGATGATGCAATGATGATGATGAACATGATGCTGATGATGAACATGAACATGAACATCATCATGTTCATCATCATCTTCATCATCATCATCATGTCCATCATCATCATCATCATCATCATCATCATCCTGATGATAATCATCACTACGCATCCTCAGCATCACCAGCAGAAAACAGTCACTATGCATCCCCAGCATCAGCAGCAATTATCATGACAATCATGACAACACATCCTCTGCATTTCCAGTCGGGTCTAACGGCGCACTTGAAACGCATGAAAAAGAAGAGCGCCACGGTAATGATGATGATCCGGATGATGTGAAGTGATGATAATCATGACTTAGACAAGGACAAAGACAAACCCTTCCCATGCGCCTTCCCTTTGGAGAAAGGGGTCGGCGGATTTGCGGGACTACTGCCAAATGGACGGTAGTGATTTTGCTCTTGGATTTGTTCCCCCTTCCTCGTTTTAAGTCCTGCGTTTTTTACAGTCAAATTTTGTTGGCGTTGCGCTTGTTGTCTTGTTCACCGAAGGCCTCTAGAAATAAGGTTTCTCATTGTTGATAATTCTTGAGCAGGCTTTTCCTGCCAGCAGATAAATCTGAACTCAGAAGGTATATCTCGCGCTACGGGAGTTTAGGTCTATCTCGACGGGGAACCATCTCCAGATACGAGATGTCATTCGTCGATGCAAGGATGAGATGTTTGGATCTAGGCTTCTTTAGACATAAGCTGAGAACCCACCGCAACGTCCAATATAATCTTGTCTGACCTAATGTTGCAAGCCTTGCTCGTAACGATACAGTAGTTTGACTATTGGAAGGTTGAGTGATCTTTCAAGCCCCGAGTTGCAAGTTGCAAGCTCTTGCATCACGCAAGCAATTGCAGGTTGTGACTTTGAGCAGGCGCAGCAAATATCGAGTTCCCATACACACTGTTCTTGGAACTGTCCCATTCGGTAGGTCTATGTTCCAATTCTACGTACTATTGCGCACATCATTTCTTGCAAGCTGAGATCGTTTGGCATGCCGGTGTTTCCTGCAAGTATACGCTTGGCGCGCGTCACTGCGTGTTGTTTGAGTGTCGTTTGCGTGTCGCCGCATTTCACCGCGTGTCGCCCAACCTGTGGCAGAAAGGGCGAACACCTTCAAAACCCTAACTTACGCTTGCCAAACCACTAAGGCCAAAACAGGCTGAAGGTTGATGTGCTGATGCTCCGCAGATCTTAGCAGTGATTCAGCGGGGTTAGAATCGAAGTGCTGTCTTGCATGGTAAGCACGGGAGTTGTCCAAGTTTTGACATTTTGGCCTTTGCGGATTTCCCATTTTCCCGTGCTGGTGCGGCAGAGTACTACTTTGATTGTTTGGTGCTTCCACTTTTCATGTCACGTACATATATACATATTTATTATTGGTTATATTGGAATACATACACACACATATGTATATATATAAACTGTTCGCGGCATTGGGTAGCGTTTGCGCCATAAGGCACGTTTGTGCATTGGCAAGCATTGGGCCAGTATGGGCAACAATTAAACATAGTTGTTTAAAGCCTGCTTATGCTTACCCTATGCTTGCCTTATGCTCACGCTATGCTTGTGCTATGCTTGCGCTATGCTTGCCCTATGCTTGCCCTATGCTTGCCCGCCTGCTCAAGCATGTTCAATCGTGATGGGCAAACATGGACGCGTTTGAACTGCTTGCCAACACATTCCTGTAGTTCAAAGCAGCAGCACATCTTGAGGCGTGTCGTATGGGGTGGGGCGCGTGGGTGGTGGGTGTGACTGGGTGATAGTGACAGGGTGGGTGTGACTTGGGTGACCGGGTGTGACATAGGTGGGTGGCCAGAACAGCCATCCGTCGCTGTAAGGTCAATGCCGCGCCAGTCGGGCTGCGGAACGTCCGCAACATGTGTTTTTTGAATGCCATCCTGCAGAGCATGTACTTCACGCCAATGCTTCGCCGAAACCTGGCCCTCGCCTGCGAAAGCCCGTGCCCAAGAAATTGGACGAGCGCCCACGAGGGAAAGAAATATAAATGTACAGACAGGCATGAGATCGTTTTGCCTGAGGCGTGGTGGTGAAAGACGAGTGGCTCATCGCATTGCGCCAGCTTTTTGCTGAGCTCGATTCCTCCCGAACTTCCAAAGCCTGCGTGGCGGCGACACGAATGGCGTCCCTGATCCAAGCTGCCTCCACAAACGGAGCTTTGGTCGCAGAGCTATTTGAGAGCATGCTTGAGACATGTTGCCCCAAGGTGAGTTTCAGCATGGGGAGCAGGCAGACGCGCATGAAGCATTCATGCTGCTGATCTCCAAGCTTCTTGAGGGCTGCATCGCGGCAAGAGGCCCGGCCATTTTGTTGCATACTGTCCTGCGACAAATGCATGGCGGTCGACATCTGCAGTTTCTTTTTGCAGGCCTGTCTGTTACCGAGAAGGAGCAGATTGAGCAAAGCAGCTTGATAGGCTTGGCGTGCCTTTGCACACGATGCACTCATGCAGCCTTATTCTGAGGCCACATATTCGGGATGAGCCTCAGCCAGTTCAAGCCTTAAGACTGGCACGTGCATCCTTTTGGGTCATGGCTTGCAAGCGTTTCCCACGCGCTCCGGCAGCGGATTTGAAATCCCCTGTTGCCTTTGCTTTAGGTCAGTCAGCTGCAAGACCTGCGGGGATAAGTCGGTGAGAAGCCGCGCGGAGTATTGCTTTTGCGTGACTTGCCCAGTGGATGCTGGGGGCCGGCACCGAAAAATTGACGTGAAGGACTTGTTGATGACGTATACGCAGGAAGAGCACATCAACGAGTGGAAGTGTGACAAATGCTTTCACCCAGGGTGCGTGCGTCAAGCGGGGATTGCGCACCCGCCCAACATTCTGATGGTCCACATCAGTCGGCCCCAGCAAGGCTGGACATCGCAGGTCACCTTTGAGCGGGAGCTAGCAATTCAGTGCGACGCAGCCAGCTACCGTAAGATGCGGTACCTCATCTACGCAGTCATTGTTTACCGCTCTATGGGCACCAATGGTGGCCATTACTTCGCCTTTGTGCGCTCCGGACGGGGGCAGAGCGAGCAGTGGTACTTGGCCGATGATGATGAAATCAGATCCGTTTCCTGGGCAGAGGTCCAAAGAGAAGAGCCCTTTATGCTTCTCTACGAGGCCAGAAAGGTTATCCCTCCAATCGCCACCGATTCGGTCGCTTTGCTGCAGAGAGACGTTCTGCTTGGACCGAGGTGTTGCCAATGCCCGCTTTGCATGCAAATCAGGGGTGTTTTCCCTTGCATGGGAAACTCACTGAGAACCCCGGATAAGCATGGTCATTGAACCAATCCGAAGTCAACATGAATGAAGGTCCCGCAGCCCTACTGAGCTTTAAGCCACCTGTCCTTAGTGTCAAAACATGAGCGGAGAAAACACAAGAAGGGATCTGAAGAAGCGTTGCCTGCTTGAACCACCTGCCTTGTTTATTCAGAGATCCGAGGAGCAGCGCCTATTGGAAGAGGAGCGACTGCAACAAGCTCGCCTGGAGGAGCCGATTCTTCCAAAATGAAGGGCTGCATGCCGTTTTCAGTGTGCCCTTGTCGCATAGCCACTGCGGACTTGCGAGACCCCTAGCAGCACACTCGCACACTCTTCAGCATAATTTAGTGGTTTAGGTGTTGCTGTCGGTGTAGTTTCCGGTGTTGCCGCTGTGTGATTTTGCAGCTTGCAGCCTGGTGAGGTTGGCCAGGTCAGCGTAGGTGCCATAGCTATGCGCAGGAGGAAGCCCGGGCTCAGGAAGCGCTCCAGATGAGAAAAGCTGAGGCGGCCGAGGCCGACACTTGCAGCGGAAGCTTACGGGGTTTGCTTCCGGGGTTTCTTTGTCAGGGCTCCTCAAAAAAGATACATTTTGCCCAGTTGAAGCATGGCTTTTTCCACCAAAATACAAGGAAACCACCATTGACAAGGCAATGTGCGGGTGTATAGTGTAGTGATCGAAGTTTGTTTACTTCGATCCTTGCAGAGCTTGGAACTTGAACAGGTGGCACTCAGAACATGAAGTATGTGTTTTTGCTGTCACCTACGATCTGCGAGGTCGCTTGCAGGCAGGTGGAACCGCCGACGGCAAGGCAAGGTCACAGGGCAGTCCTGCAGGGGAGCGGAGCAGTGAGAGCCAGGCAGCTGGAGAAGCAAAGGAGGCTGGAAAAGGAAGAGGCGGAATCTGATCGCTTGCATGTGGCAACGTTGTGCAAATCACAGACCCGTGCCGGCTGATGCACGCGTTTGTTGTGTAAATGGAGCAGGTTCTGGCAAAGAAGCTTCACGAGCACGAGGACCCGTACACGCCCGCCACAGAGCTCTCCTCTACGACGGCAGGATCTGAGGCCAGAATATTGCACACTTGGGCCTAAATTGTGCACAAGAGCTTGTGTGTAAATGTGTGGGAGGAGAAAAAAAAGGTATGCCAAGCGGCATTGGAATTTCTTGTGGAACTGCGGAACATGTTATGACGCGGCATGGATCTCACGCAGGGCAGGTCTCGACAGGAAGATCACCCTTGGCCAGCCCGTCTTCGAACAGAGCGGGCCATGGAGTTCAACCGGTGGCCCGGCTGTGAAATATTCGACCCTAACCATAGGTGTCCTTAGGTTAGCTTGATTAGAAAGAGATGGGTTCCACTGGTTTAGATGGGTTTCATTCCACTTACCAGGGCCATCTGTTTTTCCAAAAGGCCATCCATGCTGACTACGCTACTAAATTGCCTTGCCACCTGTCTATGCCGTGCGCTCAGGTGGTCAATCTTTCATTCGTGCCACTGCAGCCTTCCCCCTGCCGAGTTTTCCGATGGCTTGGAAGACGACGCGTTGCACTGTATGTAGAAATCAAAATTCCGCAATTCGAGCTTCAGGCCTGGCGGTATGCGTGGGCTATGGGCCCAATATATATCCCATTTTGCACGCAACTTGTGCCATTCCCCTTTTTGGCTGCAGCGTTTCCCTGGGCAGTGCTTCCTGTGTCCCCTATAGTGGTCCATGTGAGAAGCCAGGGTAGACAGGAGACTTGCTCGGGGCAACGCTGGTATGACCTGCAAATCCGTTCTTTGTTCAGTCTGGGCGACTTGAGTTGCTCTGACTGGCCCATATTGCATCATGTGGCGATGGGCATGCCCGTCTTTTTCAGCCACTAAACCTACGGTGTATGGCGAGGGCGTTCTTCCGCCGCAATGGAATGGTTTTGCATCAACAGCCCCTTGTATTTGCAGAGCTCTTGCTGAAGCAAGCCTTTCTCTGCGTGAAGCTTGCTGAGTCAGTGCAATCTGCTCGAAGAAATGTGCGCCAAATCTTTCGGGCACGACTAGGTAGTGCCCCTCAGAAAATACCATGTGTGAAAGTGTGGCCATAGCAACTGGTTGCTGCTTCTTCAAAGTGACCAAGGACCTATTCGGCGAATATGGCTTCGGATCTGCCAGTTCCAGATCAGGGTGGGGCCCCAGCCTCAGCCGGCGAGGGCAAAAGAGCGCCTGAGGATCTTTGCTGTGAATTTGCAGCTCACGATTGGAGCCTTGGGTTTCTCTTTCCAGCATGTGAAGTTGTCCAAGCTGACGTGGAGGTTCTTAGCTTTGCCTTCCTTCTTCCTTCAGGCTGGCTTCAGGGCCCGTAGGCCGAAGACCTTGAGCTAGACACTGTGAAAAGCCGAGCGGGCAGAGCAATGCAGAGTGCAATCAGCGCAACTTGCAAGGAGTGGTGGCCGTTTGTGTGTGTGCGTGTGTGCGTGTGTACGCGCGTGTGCGCGTGTGTGTTTAGAGAGAGAGAGTGTGTGTGTGTGTGTCACAGAGCCTGATTGAAGCAAAGGCCATGTCATCACATGGTTAAAGCATGCGCAACGGTCGGGCCTGCTCACGCGCTTGGCCGACTCACAGCAAGGACTTTTAGTTGCTGGCTGGGCATTTGCCTGTGATTTGAGACATCTTTGATTTTACTGGCATTTGCTTTCATTGCATGGAGGGCCTGGAGTATTTGGACGTCCTTGACAGCACGGCGGCGGCACAAGACATCCCTTAGACACCAGCCATTAGGTTCAGCTACCCGTGCCAAACATAAAACACTCAGCATTCATTTGGCACAGTGACCTACGGCCAGCTTTGAATTGTGATGGGCCATGCGCGACTACACAATTCACACAGGCGGCGTCCTCAAGGTGAGCTTTTCTTTGCATGGCCATGGATCAACATAGTCTTTGGCTTGGCCTTCCATTTTGCCAAGGAGTTGCCCTTCTTCAAACCAGTTTGTTTTGCTGAAAGCTTCCGGGACGCTACTTGGCCGTTTCCACGCAACAATTGTGCAAGGCATTGATGGGTTCCGGGCCTTGAGCGCGAAGCAGCTGCGACAGCAGTGCGCGCCATCGCCTAAGTCGCGGTCGGTCAACCATGGCCCAAAAAGAGTACTCATTTTTGACAACCCTTGTTTACTTATGGTGACAATGAATCAGTGCAGCATTTGCAGTCCAAGCTAAGCGCCACATCAAGAGGTCGAGGGTCAAACCTCAGCAGAAGCCCGAGCACTGCTTTGGACGTCATTTCAACGGTTTTTGCCAACCTCGTGTTTTTGTTTCTTTCTTTTTTCTGACATGCTGGTTTCCATACAATGCAAATCCAGAGATGACGATGAATGCATTTGTTCAATTGTTTGTAAGTACAAGGGTGTTCGACTCCGTGAGAAAGCAACAAGTGCAATAGACTCAGGTGCTAGTAAGGCTGGCGAAACTACGAAGCGAAAGGGTCAGAAATAATGAAGCAACTATAGGTTGGGAAGTGTTTCCCTGTTATTTAATGGCCTGCGGCCTGGTTCCGCCGCCCCCACACACCTTAGAATTTCGGCCCGGGACGAGAGAAAGCACGCGATATGTAGACAGACACAGACAGACACAAAGACACGCAGACAGACACGCAGCGGGGGGGGAGGGTCTTCGCGGACACGAAGACAGACGCAGATGCGCAGGCAGACGCAGACAGAGCCAGACAGACACAAAGACACGCGGGGGGGGGGGACACGAAGAAAGACGCAGATACGTAGACAGACACAGACAGACACAGACAGACACAAGAGACAGAGACAGACACGCAAGGGGTCTTCGCGGACACGAAGACAGACGCAGACAGACCCAGACAGACACAAAGAGACACAGACAGACACGCAGGGGCAGGGGGGTCTTCGCGGACACGAAGACAGATGCAGATACGTAGACAGACATAGACAGACACAGGGGGTGGGGCGTAGGGGTGGGGGAAGACTACCCGAAGCCTAGGGAAGAAGCCCGAAAGCCCAGGACACGCGCGTTGTTTGGTCCCGAAACAGTATCGGAAGACTAGGAGAAGAAGCCGGAAGATTACGGAAGACTACGGGAAGAAGCCGAAAGATTGCGGAAATTTACGGGAAGAAGCTTGAAAGATTTCGGAAGACTACGGGAAGAAGCCGGAAGACTACGGAAGACTACGGAAGATTACGGGAAGAAGCCGGAAGACTACGGAAGACTACTGGAAGAAGCCGAAAGATTACGGAAGATTACGGGAAGAAGGCGGAAGACTACGGAAGACTACTGGAAGAAGCCGAAAGATTACGGAAGATTACTGGAAGAAGCCGGAAGACTACGGAAGACTACGGGAAGAAGCCGGAACACTACGGAAGACTACGACTGGGGGAGGGGGGGGGGAGGGGGGGGGAGGGGGGAAATCCAAAATTCCAGAAATCCAGAAATCCAGAGATCCAGAAATCCAGAAATCCAGCCGACGTAGAAACCAGCCCCAAGGGCCGCCCCAAGGGACATATAGGTTATATATATATGTATATACATAATCATATTCACATTAAACTTATAGAAAGCTTATCAACAAAAGCAACACAGAACACACCGCCCCCATGCCGAAAGCATGGTCCATTCTGGACCAGGCATGGGGTCGGCGGATTTGTTCACGTGCATGCTCCTTGCATCCGTCTATCAATTTATCGGCTGTCTACTGCCATTTAACTTTCTAGCTGTCAATGCCTTTATTTGTCTGACGATGTACTTGTCTAGGTATGAAACTGCATAAGTATCTACACATTGCCATTGAGTGTTTTTTTGATTGGGCATCTACCTGTTAATATGTTTGGCCACCTGTTTGTCGAGCTGTCGATTTGTCGAGCTAGCTTCCAGCCCTGCTTCTTTGTCCAACACTTTGTCCATTGAAATTTGTCTAGCTTTGTTTGTCCAGCTGTTGGTTGAGAAAGCTAAGGTGTTTGCCTTACCCAGACGGATCCACCAAAGGCGCGCGGCGCTGCCTCCTGCGACAGCCGCGAGCGTCAGGACTCCAGGAGTTCAATGTGCCGCCGTCTTTCGTAGGCGCAACACTAGTCGGAACCACCGCCGGAACCAGCCATCAAGCTCCATGGCCGGCAAAGGCCAAGACAGCCTGACATCCTCAAGTCGCTATACCTCCCTACCGGCTCTTCCCTGCGTGATTCCTCAGGTCGGAACTCTTCCTCACACTCATGAGAGGATCCTTCCGAACATGTCCTCCTTCTGCTGCACAATTCTGGCGGGCGATTTTGTCGGTAGCTTTTGCAAGCCGGCGAAGCCCAATTCGGGCTGGAGCTGCGGAGAAACTATGTGAAACTTGCGTTGATTTTGATATCTCAACGCTAAGGAGAACAAGAATTCGTTTACCCAGCTCTTCTGCCAAGCTGGTTTGGGCATCAGGTTTTGCCTTGCTCGGATATGTGAGGGGGATGCTCACGAACATGGCGGTATGCAGCGCAATAGTCAGGGTGACCCTTCCGTTTGCTGCTTGGCTCAGGGTTTGCCCGCGGGCTGCTCAGGGCTTTGAAGTTTTGCTGGGGATTTGCTGGGATTGGGAGAAGCTCGAGAGTGAAGTGGGCTTGCGGCTGACGGGGGGAGTTGGGTGGGTGGTTGGCAAGGCACTGCTGGGTCGAGCGTTTCTGAATGCAAGGTAACTGCCTGCTTTGCTGTGTGATTGCTGCTGTGGCTTACGTTTTGGATTTCGACGTGCTTTTTCAAGTCGACCACCATCAAATGACGCTGGAAAAGTATGGTGCTGGCAACTTTGTACGAGGTCGCGAGGCGTCGACCTCACCGGCTGCTTCGATAAGGACACCATATTGCAGAGGCAAGGCTTCATGGGATGCTGAGCCTGTCAAGAGTCTCTGGCCTCATGGGGTTGGTGTTTGCAATCTGCACAGCTTGAATTGCGGAAGGTGGTCAGTGCTTCAAAACGCGTGCTAGCGCGCAGGTTGCAGAAGGCCCTTTCGGCTGCCCAGGAACAGAGGCGCAAATCAAGAAATATGGCAGAGTAACTGAGTAGCTTTCCCGGAAGCGGAAGGTCATGGTTTTATTGAGTACTTAGTTGTATGGCTTCCGCAGCCCAAGGCTCCCCAGATCAGCTGCGGGCCCAGCCATATGCCAGCATTGCGTGTTCCGTGCTTGGCATCTGGCAACGTGCTCAACGAAACAGGCGCTTCGACTTGTGAGAGGGGTGAGGCCGTTTTTCTCAAGCATAAAGCTGATGAGTCCTCAGCTGCCTGTAGAAGCTTGACAAAGGCAATTAAGTGGCGTTGTTTCCGCTTAAGCAAAAAATGTCTAGAGGAGAACATATGAACAAACTAGACAACGTGTGGCCCGGACGCAGAGAAACACGATGATTGCGGCCAGGGCCTGTGCTCACAACTATGCAGATGTAGTTTTGGGTGACGTGATATGGTCGATCACTGGAATTGTTATTTACGTATACTACTTTTATACTCCCAAGTTGCCATGTTCGAGACGGAGCTGGCGGAGCGCACTTCACATCCTACTATTACACTGAAACATTATGATTTGCGCTGGACCCGCGCGGGCGCACACTTCGAGTGCTACTTGTGTAGCTAGGCCGGCTGCAATTTCGATATTCGAGCTGCAGCTGCGACCGCATACTTTTCGTACTGCTTTCGTTCTCAAAAGTTACCCTTTCCATGCTCCAGCTGGGGGCTCTGTGTACGAGCTGTCTTTCTTTCTTTCTTTCTTTCTTTCTTTCTTTCTTTCTTTCTTTCTTTCTTTCTTTCTTTCTTTCTTTCTTTCTTTCTCTTTATTTATTTGTGCCCTTCTGTTGTGTCCTTCTGTATTTCTTTCTTGATTTGTTTGCGGTATGCCCTCTTTCCTTGTTAGTTCATCCTTCCTTGTTTATTTAATTCTTTCTGATTGCCTTCTTTCTATGTTATTTCTTTTTGTCAGCGTTTCACTTTCTACATCTCTTTATCTGTCTAGCTATCTATGTATCTACCTTATCTTATCTCATTTATCTATTTACTTATCTAGCTATGCGCTCTCCCTATATAATATATCTACCCCACTATCTATCTAGCTTGTCTGGCTCTGTGAATATATGGGTCGAAACGCTGCATTCAATAGCTGATGGAATGGTGTCTTTCCAATTTCGCCCTTGAAATGCAGTTTTCGAGCTGGCACAGCGAGAGCGCTGCGACCCGCCTGATCCACGCAGAGGGTTTGCGAGACCAAGACGATTTGCACAGCGCCACGGCGAGAGAGAGCTGCGACCAGCCGGATCTCCGCAGAAGGCTCGCCGCCAGAACGCAAATTTGCACGGCGTCACGGTGAGAGCGCTTTGACATGCACGGTCTCCGCAGAGGGGTGCGTTTCGACAGCTCCCGTGGGGCAAACCTGAGGAAGAGCTAAGACTGGATAACGGAAGCTTTCGAAGGTGGAATGAAAGGAAACAGTTATCTGATGGTTTTTGGACAACAAGTAAGGCGCGAAAAGTTACCTGGCAAGTTTTTGCTTGTGCTGCTAGGATAGCGAAGTAACACCCGAACAGTTAGCTGGCAATGTCAGCAATAGAGTCTGAGGTTGGCAGGAGATGGTTGCCCTATAAAGTTCGCAGCCGTTTTTAGAAGAACCCTTCACATGCTTCCGGGAAAAAGGTAGCACCACACAGAAGCCGCGGAAGGTTCGCGGAGGGCCCACGGAAGCGCGGAGAAGCATACTTGCGGAAAGTTCCCTGAAAACACTGCGGATTTGAGGGAAGACGCGTCCATTCTGTTTTTAAAGGGAACATAAACAACACTCGGTTGGTCAAAATTGGGCAAATGCTCAAAATTATCAGGGTCTGCGTTGCAGAACTTCTGGTTGGCACAGGTCGCAGAACAACAGCCTGTAAACCCAGAGCCGCTGCGGCAGACTGCCGGCGGCTAAGGCTGAGTGGCCAGCATGCAGGGGTAGAAAGGAAGAGGAAAAAGTGAGAGAGAGAGGGGTATGATCAGATAAGAGTGGTGATGAGAAATGATCAAAAATGTAAATGGTTCATGATAGATACCATTTGCCCATGCTAGCACAGGAGACATTCACAAACGCTTCCCACGCAGGCACCAGCGCAGCTCATTTCCGAGATCGCACCGCAAGAGGCGCACGCTCCGCCTGCTGCAACTCAGGCAAGGACAGCACATGGTACTTAGATGGTTGCCCACTGCTTCGCTTACCAACAAGCGCGGCAGGCAGGTGAACAATCATCACCTTCATCTCCACCACAGGTCGCAGAACAAGAACCTGTGAAGCCAGAGCCAGCGCGGCAGCCTGCTGGCAGCTCAGGCTGAGTCGCAGCATGCAGGGGCAGGGAGGAAGAGGAACGGGTGAGAGAGACTGAGATATGATCAGATGAGAAGTGGCGATGAGAAGTGATGAAAGATGATAGATGATGCATGATAGATACTATATGTCCTTGCTAGCACAGGAGGCATTCATCAACGCTTCCACCTAGGCCCCAGTGCGGCTGATTTCCGAGTTCGCTCCGCAAGAGGCGCACGCTCCGCCTGCTGCATGTCAGGCAAGGACAGCAGATGGTACTTACATGCTTGCCCACTGCTTTGCTTACCAACAAGCGCGCGGCAGGCTGGTGAACAATCATCACCTTCATCTCCACCACAGGTCGCCGAACAAGAACCTGTGAAGCCAGAGCCAGCGCGGCAGCCTGCTGGCAGCTCAGGCTGAGTCGCAGCATGCAGGGGCAGGGAGGAAGAGGAACGGGTGAGAGAGACTGAGATATGATCAGATGAGAAGTGGCGATGAGAAGTGATGAAAGATGATAGATGATGCATGATAGATACTATATGTCCTTGCTAGCACAGGAGGCATTCATCAACGCTTCCACCTAGGCCCCAGTGCGGCTGATTTCCGAGTTCGCAACGCAAGGGGCACACGCTCCACCTGCTGCAGCTCAGGCAAGGACAGCACATGGTACTTAGATGCTTGCCCACTGCTTTGCTTACCAACAAGCGCGCGGCAGGCTGGTGAACAATCATCACCTTCATCTCCACCACAGGTCGCCGAACAAGAACCTGTGAAGCCAGAGCCAGCGCGGCAGCCTGCTGGCAGCTCAGGCTGAGTGGCAGCATTCACGGGCAGCGAGGAACAGGAACGGGTGAGAGAGCAAGGGTGATGTGATCAGATGATGAGAGGTGACGAGCCATGAGACATGTTTGGTGCTAGATGCTCGGCAATCAAAGGATGTTAAGATGAGAAACGTCCGATTCACGGACGACTCACATGCAAAGCAAAGACATGGCAAAGTAACGACATAGCCAATCACAGACATAGCTAAGCAAAGACATAGCAGAGCAAGCACAAAACTCGTCTTGTTACTTGGGAGCTTACATTTTCGTGGCAGGCGAAGCACTTTGTGAGCTCAGCGGTCGCGGTTGGAGACATTGAAATGGCAACGCGCACAATTTCGCAGCTTTCAAAAGTGCACCTTACGCGAACGGCAGGTCAGCCTTGACAAACTCAATATTATACTCCAAAAGTTGAAATTTGTTAAAGTTTAAAGTCGTGTGTTGCATTTATGCGGGCCTGACTTTGGGGGATGCGCGGCACTTTGTGAGCTCGCGAGAGGAACCTCGCAATCGCTGGGCCGCATCCGCTCGCATGACGCGTGCTGAAATCCTCACGCGGAAAAAGCGCAGCTCGCCGTGCTTTCCTCTAAGCAGCTTTCCCTTGAAACTTCCGGCCCTGGCTCTGCCGGGCTCCAGCGGTATACTAAATGGATGACGTGCATATATTTACATATAGATATATGTATATAGATATAGATGTGTATGTATATGGTCTATGTTCTGCTGGCCTGGGAGACATTCATAATCGCTCCCGCCCAGGCACCAGCGCAGCTGATTTCCGAGATTGCGCCGCAAGCGGCGCACGCTTCGCCTGCTGCAGCCCAGGCACATCAGCACACGACAATGCCTATGCCAGCACTTGGTAATTGGATGCTTGCCCGCCGCTTGGTAATTGGATGCTTGCCCGCCGCTTTGTTGACCAGAAAGTGTGGCAGGCAGATGAACAAACGTCACCTTCGTCCCAGTTGCCGCCATTTGAAGAAGAAGCTTCCGTGGATCCAACGACTGTTGGATGCTTATGCGGGCTGATTTGGAATTGTCGACTGCTCCTGCAAGTGACTTGAATCCTCAGCAATCCTTTCGGCTGGCTTGTCCCTTGTGCAGAACGCAGTGAAGCTCAGTGTGGCTGCATGCCGCCAAGGCAAGAACAGAAGCCATGCTAGGAAAGACAGATGGTGTTTTTCCGAAAGCTGTTCGCTGGTTGGGGCCCCCTGCAGAACAGCAAGGGCACTATCCCCACAAGGAAGTCCGCCTAATCACTCAGGCATTTCCTCGGCTAGAAGCAGCGTGCACAGGGCAAACACGTGCCTTAATGTTTTGCGCACGTTGCCTTCAGAAGGGGCGCAGTTGGAGAGATATGTAAGTTCCCAACTTTTACCCAAGCTATTTTCCGCAGCGGTGTGACTTTCACCAGCGCAAATCACATATTGTTTGCCTCCCAAGCAGCTTCAGGCACCAATCAAGTTGGGAATGAGTGTCCTTTTCACTGCATTGGGCTTTGCGCTGCTCAGCACTGGTTCGTCTTCTCATTGGAAAACCGATATGCAATATTTTTTGGGAGCCCACAGTAAGCCTTCAAGAGTGGAATCAGAGGCTAAACGCTTTGAGAGAATCATTGCAGGTGCAAGCTCAACATGTAATCAAGCTTTCATCCACCAGTGCGCGCGAGCTGAACACGCAGCAAGCACACCTAGCAGCAGGAAAGGGGCATTGAAGCGCGTAAGCGAATGGTGTAGTTGCTATAATAGCTCGAGGGCAAAACTTGCAAGTATTCATGCTTAGGCCAAGACAAGACTCTCGCATCAGGGGGTTGCGGGCTTTGGGCCAGGCACATTCTTGACTGGGCGTTCGCACGCGTGCACTCTGCCCCTTCTGGTGCTTTCCTACAAACTGACCTACGGATCTGTACTGGTCCGTTCGGATGCAGTGTAACGCAGTGTGTGACGGTCCAAGCTTGACCCTAACCGTGGACGGGCAGAGATGCGCTGAATCTCTGAAATTGCGGCGCGCCTTTGTGACACCAATCAGACCCAACAAGAAGACCATCATAAACAAACGGAACACGTGCTGTGCAAAGCATTTGTATCAGGCCTTTCCCCCTTGGTCGGGCACGTCTCAGGTTGGAAAGGAATCAGCTGCTCTTCCCAGCAACGCAAAGGTGAAGCTTGCGCATGGTGCATGGCTCAGCTGGGGCATCCCCTTGGCAACGCCGCAACATGGCATCGAGACATGGCAAAGTCAGACGCTGTAGTGCACCCTTGCCTGACCACCAGCATCAAGGTTAATTGTTCCTGGCATGAGGTAGGCTCCCTTTGCACCACTCTTTCTTTTCCCCCGTTGCTTCCCCATCCTTTGTCCCATGAATTTTCGTCGTGGGTCCCAAATTCTCCTTGTCCATGTGTGCGTGGCGTGACTTGCGTTGCCCCAGGCCTTGCGCATAACTCTGCACACCTGGCAGACCGCAAAGCCGTCAGGTTTGCTCAACACGGCCAGCTTAGGGCACCAATGCACTATCCCTTCAGAATTGGAAGGGGTGAAACGGTGGCAATTAGAATAGTGAGATCGGACCAAAAGTCATGCTACAGTCAACGAGATTGACGTTTCAAATGGCTTGCATGTGGTGTGCAGCGTGTCTGTGTGTGTGTTTTGCTTTTTCTGCTGACAGTCAGTGTCTGCCAAGTTTGGGCTGCGGTAGCTTGCAGACTATTGGGTGGGGGGGGGGGGGTTAGCGTTTTTTGCTGTCGCATACTGTGACACCGGCCAGGTTGCGCATTGGAGGCAGGAAGCGGGTGAAGCTCATGGCTCACGGTTCTTGTGACGAAGCTGAGGGATCTGTTGACTTTGGAGATGGTTCAGCTGGGAGTTCTTGCTGTGCCGGATTTTGTTGATTTTGGGGGTCGTTCCGCTGGGATTCTCTTTGGGGTTTGTCGCTAGGTCATACCATGGAGAGCTTTGGTGAAGGAGTGCAAGCTCTTGGGTGGGCAGCTCATGGTGAAGTTGCTGGCGCCGTTCAGTCCATAGGTGTCCTTAGGTTAGCTTAGAAATAGATGGGTTCCACTGGTTTAGATGGGGTTCATTCCATTTACCAGGGCCATCTATTTTTCCAAAAGGCCATCCATGCTTGGGCCATTGGAATTTTGGGTATTTCCTATGCTATTGCTATTAGGTGCGGGGTTGATGTTGTGTGTTGTGGAGATCTGCGGGCCGCGAAACACGGTTCCTCGCGCCATTTGTCAAGTCATTGCCAAAGAAACCACATAGTTTGCAGCCTTGGTAAAGGAAGCAAAACCCATGGAACGGAAATGTGCAAAAGACTTGGTGCCAAATTGCAAGAAATGTGCAAAAGACGCATGGACCGCAACTTTATTTCCTGATTGTCTTCTCGACCTTTGGCATGCGGAACAAGTAGGCTGCAAACAAGCTGGCTAAAGTGGAAACAACCATGGAACGCAAGTCCCACCAAACCAAAAGAGGTTCTGCGCCGGATGGGACACGTCCATCCGAACGCCCACCCCACGGCGGTTTGCAACTTGAAGCATTTGTTTGCAACTAACTTCATTGCACTGATGCTGCGGGCCATTTGTGGCGGTGACTTGGTGGGTGACCTTGCCACGCATCAGCGGCTTGGTGGTACGCTACAGGTGTTCGGTTGGGGAGCTGAGGAATTGATGTCACGGGCGTCTATGCCAAATGCGAGGCCAGCTTCTTGCAGGAACCTTTGAAACCAGAGTCTTGCCCACAGCATCCCATGTGGCGGTGGCTCAAATAAATGTACCAAAATGACACCTTGGTAAATGGAACCAAAGACTAAAACCGAGTAACCCTGGCTCTTGAATTTTGAGCCACTGCCATGTGTGCTGCGGAGTTGCCGGCAACGCATGGCAGTCTGACCATTGGCGCATCATGGTTGCCATGAGTCGTCCGTGAGCCGCTGGCCGCTGCCAGGTCATCAGGAGGCTGATGGCAGTTCTTGAGACGGTGGGGCTGACATGGCTTCGCACAGTGGAAAGCCATGATCACAGTGTAAGCGCCAGAGAGCGCCAGCACAGAGAGAGAGAGAGAGAGACATGGTTGGATTGCACTTCGCTTTCCCAGTATACAGATGGATTCCCTCGCGGCAGGCAACTTTAGAGCAACCCAAGCACCAGGAGAAGGAGCACGACCTCGCGGATGGCAAGCTGGAGGCGCATGGGGTGCCAGTCGGGAAGCCCCGCCATGGAGCCCTGCGCAGGAGAAGCGGCACTTGCCCCAGCCAGTTGGTCCTCCTGTGGCGTTGCCAGCAGCCCAGTGCCATAGGTGTCCTTAGGTTAGCTTAGAAATAGATGGGTTCCACTGGTTTAGATGGGGTTCATTCCATTTACCAGGGCCATCTGTTTTTCCAAAAGGCTATCCATGCCCAGTGCAGAGCAAAGAGAGTCCATGTGCGGAGTGAACTTGGCTGTTTTTGGGCCAGGGGCCAAATCCTGAAATGGGTATGGGTCAAAATTTAAACACCTCCTTGGTTCCATTTACCAGGGTTCCGTTTTGCGTGTGCATTTTTGACCAGCCAAATGTCCGCTGACCTGACAGGTCCCCCTTTCCTTCCGAGAACTCTGAGCCTGGCCAGCCCAGCCCCCAGCTCCTTTTGTCTTCTGGTGATGCGTGGCCATGGTCAGTGAGGCCAGACACACCGCCAAGCCCGCACAACTGGCTGTTCGGTGACCGAGTTGTGGAGGAGAGCAACTTGAACCTTGGAAAGTGTGCCCGGAGTTTCGAGCTCGCAGCCAAGCCTGAAGATAGTTCCCCAAAGCCAGTTTCCGGCATCGCTTTGAGCAGCAAATGTGGCAAGAACGACCTCCCTCAATTCTACCATGGTTGGTTTAGCTCGGGGGATGCCCATGCAAAGAAACACAGTCACGGCGGAATTTGTGGCAGGATATTGTTTGTTGGCCTTGGCGCATGAAACCAATCACCACCCTCTTGCGCGTGTGCCTTCAATGTTTAACGCCATTTGAGGAGACCGCTGGGCAGACTGCCGCTGGAGAAGAAAGCGAGGTAGTTGAAGAGATTGTCCTGGAGGCATTGGCATCTTCCACCGGGAGGGCATCATGCACCAAGCTTGTTGGCCATCGTACCTTCTTAAACCTGCTTTTCAAGCTCATTGACTGAGCATGCGTCTGCTCATGCCTGGCAGCGCAGGGACCAAACAGAACATCAAGCGAGCCACCACAAGCGACGCCAGTTCACCCGGCAGTAGCTGATGCCTTAGTGGGCGCTGGCATTGGCAAAGCAATTGCGTGACGCTCCTTTGCACCTCGGCACCTGGAGAGTTCCCTTTCCACTGTTCATCAGGACGCGTGATTCTTAGGTAGGCGTCAGGCCTTTCGGCATTTCAACCCTTTGTGCCGTCCGACCTTCTGCATCGTGTCTCCCGGCGAAGCTTTGCTTCCAGAGGCCCGGGGCTGCTGAGTTCAGCTGCAATCCTAGGCTTCGACACGACCTCGCGCTGAGCCCTTAAGCTGCCCGTGGTTGGTTGATGCCGAGGGGCATCCCCTTGTTCAGCGCCACTGCATAGGCGAGAATAGGCAACAACACTGTGACGTTTACCCACGCGTTGGTGGCTTGGAAAAAGCTGCATCTAGGCCTCGATCTCGGAGCTTTTCCGGCTTCCACTTTCAGAATTGCAAGCCAGGAAGCACTGGCCTGTTTGTGCATTCTAATGGTTGGACGTGCGCTAAAGACCATGCCTGCCTGCAGATGCGAAGCAGAGGGCATTCCGGCCGACTGCTCGGCTGTGGCATGCGTAGAATTGAGGCATTGCTTGGCTTGATGTCATCGTGGCCGAGGTTGCACCAGGAGAAGCAAAGGGCTTGCTAATTTCTAAACTGAAGCAAGCCCTGCTCGGTTCCCAGTTCCCTTGCTGGAACAGATTGGTGTGTGTGTGTGTGGCCGGCCTGACCAGGTCCAAGACAGCAGCACAGGCGGCAGACTCTGCGAAGCAAGTGGCGGAGGCACAGCTTGACAGCCCGAAGAAGGCAACAGACAGCCAGCCTGAGGCATTGACAAAGCCTGAGCCATCGCGAAAGGCCGAACCAGAAGTTTTCCACATAGGCTCTGACGATGAGACAGACAACCACTCGGACGACTTCTTCCCTGAGTTTCCCACGTTCAGCACTATACCTGGGGCAACCTCAGCTTCTTCAGAGGCTCTTCCCCAGGAACTGCCCACTGTGCTGCCCGAGCAGAGCCAACCAAACGCGGAATTTGACATCGGCGACTTGCAAGAGGACCTCGCCGACATCCATTCTGACCACACGCCGAAGGCCAGTGGCCGAGATTGCTTTGACTGGTTCAACGACGAGGAGGAGGTTTTGCCAAAGTCAAAGTCTGCACCGGGGCAAGTGCATGCCACATCACCAGGCAGCGAAGCTTCGGAAAAGCCGTCAAACAGCTCAGATCCACAGATTGATTTGCCAGAGCCTGCTGCGACTACGCCCCTTCAACACTTTGAAGATGCGAAGGCAGGGGGGAAATTAATCAAGCCCGCCTGGTCACGGCAGCATTGCTTCTAGCTTTGAGTTTCGGGCTCCCTCTTTCTCTTCACGCGGTCCTTTGAAACAAAAATGGCTAGAATTTCTAGAATCCAAATTATTTTGTGAAAGCTAGCTATGCAAGCATTGAGTTCCCCTGCTTCAGCAAATTGCTGGGCCGGCTTCAGGGATTGATGTGTTCGATCTTTGGTACGGGAAGAGGGGGGGGCTGCGGATTCATTCCGAAGACCATGCCCACAATCTCGTGCACATGTTTGCAGCTAGTGAATCTGTCTGATTAAGACCTGGTCTAAAATTTGGATCGCAACGACCTTCCAGATGTTCATTAAAGTTGCTATTCTCCACATTTTGGCAACCACGGTCTTACATCTCCAAGTTGGACTGGCTAGCTTGCGTTCAGCCGCCTCTCAAGTTGGCGGGTGTTCAAAGCGGCGGGCTAAAAGAATGGGTTGACCTTCGTCCAAAGGTGGCAGCTTGTTGGATAATTAGTCGCAGCCTGTCCACGCACGCAGGACCGAGGCGATGGCAGCTCGAGCGACAGCCACAGGCTCAGAGAGGATAGAAGGCCAACTTCTGCACCTCATTTGGCTGCGCGAAGCCTCAGCCACTGCACACAAGTAACCTCAGGAGGAGATGGTGCGATGTTTGATTTCGATGACCTGGATGACTTGGTCAAGGCACGCTCGGCCGTAAGTAGTGGACCCCTGGATTGAGCTTCAAGTGTTGTGGCCATGGGTCAAAATCCCGTACCCTCGGTGAACATCCCAATCCCCACTAAAATAAAGCCTAAAGTGGTGCACCTTCCCCAAAATGGGATCCCATTGGTTTTGACCCACAGCCTTGAGCCCAAGCCATCGCCCTCAGTGCCTGGATTGAAGCGCGCTCAGGTAAATCCGCTGGCAGCGGATCCAGCCCCAGAGCCGACCAGACCAACGCCGGACCGGCCTGAAGAGTCGGAAGTGGAGCCAGAGCCAAAGGCGGCAGAGCCAAAGGCGCCAAAAGAAGAGGCCAGGCCAGAGCCGCCGGTGCAACCGGCGCCAGAGCAGGAATCACCTCCGCGAGGCGAGGTTCTTGGGCCTCCACTTGGGCCACTTGAGAGCCTGAGGCAACGAGAACCCGTTGCTGAAGTTCACAACCAAGGCAGGGACAACAAGTTTGCAACATGGGTCAAAACCAATGGTACCATTTGGGGACAGGTGCACCGCCCATTTTAGTCTATTTTAGTGGGGATTGGGATGTTCGCACGAACTCAAGCGACAGATCATGCTGGGTCGACGGCTCAATGCATGCTGCGATGGACACAAATCGGCCACAGGAACTGTTGGAGCTGGCAAGATCTCGTGGTGCCAGCGCCCCAGCAGTTGCTACATTGCATGGCATTCTGCTGGCGGCGCCTTTGCCAACATGCGTGAAGCTGAAACTCCCCATCATGCAAACACAGTGCACAATAAAACGAACAACCCACAAAGCAAACATGGCCAATCGCTCTTGGAACCTTTGCTGCATCTAAATGCCGATGCCCAGGGCGCAACACGCCAGCAAAAGCACTCGTGAACTTGAACTGTGAGTGCAAAATCACTTGGAAGGAGTGTTCAACAAGTCCAACAAGGAGGTAGAGCATGCCCAGACGTATAATTGCAGAGGGGCGTTATTGTTTTGTTTGAAAATGTTGGGGCATTTGCGTTTCCTGAAAGACTGAGAATTTGCACGGCAACTGCAGTGCTTGACACCATCGTAAGACAAGGTCGATGTACGTGGCTGCGTGGAGAAAAGCCTAATCCTGAGATTTGGTGGGAAGATGCGTTTGCTGCGGCCAGCGCAACTGGGCAATGAGAATTCACAGGCCATGGGGTTTGCTGTCTGGTCAGACCCTGGCCATAGGTCATAACTCCACCCCAGGTGACATTGTAGATCGACTCACCCGCGCTCCCAGGGCCGCGGCCCCAATTTGCGCAACATGCAGAAAGATGGAGTTCAAACCCGGGGGTGTATGTTGGACGGCTTTGGCAAGACCTGCTAATGCAAATAAGCAAGGCGCCTCCAGAGGCACATTGTGACATGAGAAGCAGAGTGCCCATGAGGCCCCACAGCCCCCTGTGCAGCACAAGCCGCCTGTGCGGCAGAACACGCAGCCTATGCAGACGCAGTCAGCAGGCCGATTTGGGTATGGGTCAAAATTAAGCCGCAAGGAATTGGACCGCAGGTTTTAGTCCATGTTTCCATTCACAAGGGTCCCATTTTGGGGTTACCCTATTTTTGACCCACAGCCATTTTCCGCATGTTCACTTTCAGGGTGGAAACACGGCCAGGTGCTCCTTCAAAGGCTTCTGGCGCGTGGCCCCCTCAAGAAGGAGAACTGATGTGGAGAAAGCAGCAAACGGCTGCAGCAGTCAAGTTGCAAACGGAAAGTAGGGATGTGTGTTTCTTTTTCCCGGACAAGTGTTTTTGGTATGGTGCCCTTCAAGTCCGTTGACAAGTCTGCAGTTGCCTTGAGGCCGATGCCACGCTTTGGGCGGAGTTACACCTGGCAGGCGTCCGACTGGGCACCAGATGGTGGCCAGATGGTGGCCACCAAGCCTTCCAAAGCCCAAAGTGGTGAGGAACGTTGGCCATCGTGTTGCATTCTACGGATTAGATCCAGTTTTGGGTGTTCACCTAGCTTGCCAAACCGGCAATGGTGTGGTTTCCCTGAAAGGCCCATGCGTTTGCAGTCAGGCTCCTCATGTGCCCGTGGCTTGGTGCCTGGGTCCTTACCTGGGCTGACTGTTTCAGGATGGTGTCTTCCGGTTGCGGCTTTGCACAGCTTTTCGCCGTGCATCAGATTGACCCTTGCAGAAAATGCCTGTTGGTATTGGCGTTGGTGCTCGTGTTTCGAGAATGTGGCGTGCGTTTGCGCTTGCTTGGTGTGCGCGGGCGGGCGTGGGTGAGTGGGTGAGTGAGTGGGTGGTGTGTGGGTCGGCGGGCCGGTGGGGGCATGGGTGGATGGGCACGTGGGTGGGCAAGTGCGAGTGTAGATGGGTGGACAGGTGGGATGCGAGTTTGTGTGCGCGAGTGTGTTTGCATGTGTTTGTGATGCTTGTCATTGTGGTTGTTTCGTCTTTGCGCGTGTTGAAAGACACTTTAGAGTCCTTTCAGGTCAGTGGCGGCCTTGAATCTATAGCATAGCATTCTTCTTCAGGTGCGTTGGTTGCCTCAGTGCGCGTTGCAGACCTAATACGTAGGAGTTGCTTGGGTGCCATTTGTTTTGAGATGTGCACCCCATTGCATTCTGCCAGTTTTTGTTGCTTTGCGTGTTGCACACTGGGCTATGAAGGCTTTGCCTCACCATTGCAGACCTGCTTCACGAACTTCTCCACACTACGCTTTCGAATCCCATACAAAGTATCGAACCTTGGTGACAGGTTCAGTTTCACCGGCCAACTGGGTTGAATCTCAGAAAATGACCTTCCCTAGCCCATGACAGCCATACTGTGTCCCTCCGACTTGCTCGTTTCCATCGGCAGGGTGGGCATGGGCACGCAAGCCATGCAAGCCAGCCGCCGAGCCAGCCCCCTGTGAGCCAGTGCGGTCCTCGGTTCTTCAAGTGCGACAGTTGCAGCGGGCCAGTATTCTGAAAGGTGGGAGCTCCTCTGCAACAAACATATTAAATTGCCGAGGGTGGAGGACAAGACGTTGCTCAGATTCGAATGTTAAAGTTTCCAACTCCAGCGCCCAGCATAAGCCTTAAACTGCAAGTGTGCAACTGACTAGCCTCGGGAAGACGCATGCTGTGTTGCAAGCAAAGGACCATATTGCCAGTGTATCGGGTTGGGTTGGCCCTAATAAAGTCGGGTATAAATATATTTTGTCAACAGCCTGTACTGTCGAGCATACACCAAAGCTCACTGAGGTCATCAACCACCGCGCCCCGCCGACCAGCAAAAGCGCATGCGTCGAAGGCGAGCAAAACCGCAGCCAAGTGCTTGGGTAGGTTTGTGTGAGCACAAGCTCCAAGGAAAACAAATTGCAGTCCGTTGTACCAACGGGAACGTTCCACGAGTTGGCACATTGCAGGCTACGCTCTCAAGCGCTCTGTGCATGTCACAACAGGCAGGCCGGCGCCAGCCGAAGGCACCATCCCCGACGCCAGAGGCTGGGCATGGGCAAGCAAAAGCAACAAGAGAGGCATCCAAGACATCACCTTACGCAGCAGGACACACGCAGCATGCAGCATGGAGAATGTAGCATAGAGCTTATGCAGCAAATGTGTTGGCCTTTTGCTGTTTGAAGCTTTCCGAGCCTGTGCAAAATCCTGCTTTAATCCCTTCCCCCTAGTGCTAAACGGCCCCCCCGAATACTATATAAGTGGGTCCTTCCGGAAAAACCGGTTTTAGCATTAGGGGGTCCCCGGTTCGTTTTCGGAAAACCCTGGGAGACAAATAGTTAAGTCTTGTATTTCTTTGTGTGGAGGGAGAAGGAAAGAGAGGGAAGGAGACCCCAATGAATAGATATGGTTTGAAGGATTGAAGGTGCAAAAAGGGCACAGGCGGGAAGTACCTACTTTCGAATTGGTTTAGTATTGGCTATTCTAAAAGTGGTATTACAGTGGTATTCCCCGATTTTGGAATTTCAACAGTCGGTTTTAGTATGAGGGGTAGGTTTAGCATTAGGGGGAAGAGACTTGATGCATTGTGCAGAATGGGGAGTGAAAAAAAGGCATTCTGTGCCAGGATTTAGCACAATAGCACGCCAGAAACCCTTGAAATTTCTGTCGTGTGTCTCGCCCGCTGGACCTGTCTAGTTTGTCCCAAAGCCAAATTCCTGCCGAAAAAGGCGGCTTTGCCAGGCGCCGCGGTGGGAAAACCTGAGCAGCTGGAGTTCCAGGGTGCAGACATGGCGCGGGGCCAAAGTGGGGTGAGACCGGGTGCCATGGGGCAATAGCTGAGCCGCGGCGAGCAAGTGGGTCGTTGCAACTGTCATTTCCTCGTTTTCGGAAGGCAGTGCCTTCTGAGGTTTAATCGCTACCCCGGCTTCACGGCCATGCTTCCCCCAGAGGCAGAGATGTGGACAGACCAGGAGTTGGATGCCGGGGCTCTCAGAGATCCACACGGCTTGGAAATTGCCAGGGCAATGCTGGCTTTCAGCCTGAAAACTCGTGATTTTCGGGAGCGTGCGCGCGCTGCGCCAGTTGAAGCACATGCTGCCGAGGTGTATTTCGGGAGTAACGGTGACATTTGGTAGAGCCCTCATTGCGTGCGTGCTAAGCTTTACACTGACAGGAAGGGAGCGTGCAGCTACTGAGGCCTCGTGGGAAAAGGCCTGCATGGCAGCGGGCTCAAGACTCTACGGCCTAGACGCCTGAACCCTCCGTCCACCACATCAGGTTTGGCAAAAGCGGCGGCGAGGATGCAAAGCCTGCTTCAAAGCCTCAAGGCGCGCATCGGATCATCTTAATGTTTGCCGTCCTTTGGGCCGACACGCGACCATCAGGTCCACGCACTTATCCAGATCTCAAGGTGCATTTCCAGACGCTCGACTTGGCTTGGAGCTCGGATCATTGGCACCTCGACACTCCAGATCCAAATTGCCCTCATGGCTTCTGTGCTCACTCCGCACGTTTGCCACAATGTGCGCTCTCGACATGCGTTCTCAAGCTGCTCCCCGACAGCAGTGGATGCCAGGCAGATCTGAGGGGACAAACAATTCGATCATCAAAAGGTCGTCAGGCTTGACATGGCTTCACAATGACGATTGCTTAGGAAATGAGCATCATAATTGAATATATCCTGTAACTCGCAAGGGCGCTCTGAGGGACATGTGCCAGAGGAACCCATGCCAAGGCCGAATGATTAAAAGCTAGGGACTTATCCATTGCTTCATGTCCGGTAGACTGAAATGTGGGACCGCAATGCCGCGTGCACAGCAGCATGGCCGCCAGGGCCATTAATTTCCTAGAGCGGCACATTGGGGTGGACATCGACGGGGATGGCGACATCGGTTCTAGGAAGGTCGTCCACGTTGCCGAGGCAGTGCAGGATGAATCGGAAGAGGAGGACGATGTTATCCTGGAACCGGAGAAGGATGCAGCACGGAGAGCTTTTGCGATGCTCCTGGAAAGGGAGGGGAGCTTTCCAGAATCCTCAGACTCCTCCAGTGAGGAGGAAGCAGAAGTGGCGCGCAGAAGTCGAGCTTCAGAAACCATCCGACAAATTCGCCTGCCTGAGAGCATTCGGGACCAATACACTTTCCTGGAGCTGCTGAATGAAAATCACGGTCGTCGTGTGTACTTGTGCAAGGCTCACCGAGAGGAAAGTGGCGAAAACCGATGTGTGCTGAAAGTGTGGTACAAGCAATGGAAAGATGATGCGGAACTTTCTACCATTATGCAGGGCCAGCTGGACCTGTTGAAGTTGGAAAGGCATGCTAACATTGTCCAGCCACAGCACATTCTCGAGGACGAGCTGTGTTTCTACGTGGAGTTTGACGGGATTTTTGCGGGGAGCTCTCTCTTTCAAAATATTATTGCTGACGCGTCGCTTACGGAGAAGTGGATCAAGCGAGTCTTCCGGGGTATTTTCCGTGGACTGGCGCACTTGCATGAGAATGGCTGGACGCACGGGGACCTGAAGCCAGAGAACGTGCTCTTGGAGTGGAAGGACTTTCGTCACCTCCTCTCCAAGCACGCTAAACACCCCAAGGCAGGCCGGTTCGGGCAGGGGTCAAGTCTTCTCGCGCGGCCGACAAGGTCGACACGTTGAAAGAGCCATGGTTTGCCGCCTGAGTTGCCGAAATGCTACAACAAAAGCGATACAGGGCGACATCCTGGTCCTAGTGCTAGGCCACACACTTGCATCACAAGCAAGGCACAGGCTTTGGCAAACTTGAGTGTGCCTGCGAAACTTGCTGACATTCATCGCCTTTCTATCCTCATGTACTGCCTTTGTTTGTCCATCTCGCATTCGTCAGATTATAGTGCAGGTTTTTGCGGGTCGTTTGCCGGGCAGCCCAGGCCAGTTGAGCCACAATCAAAACTCGGGTAGATGAAGGTTAGTATGGGGCAGTCCCAGCCAGAAATGATTGCAGATATCCGCCTGCTGAATTCTTGAAGCATGGTTCTGGGATTACGACCACTCAACTGATTACGACGTTGTGGCGCCTGGAGTAATTACGGGTTTTTGGAAGGTGGTTTGCTGGGCAGCCAGTTTCTAGCCATTGCCTGTCAGATCCAGCTGTTGACCAAAAAGTGGGCATGGGTCAAAAGCCCGGATAGGCCCCAGTGAACATCAACCAATCCCCACTAAAATGTGTTCCAAAGTGGGTGATTTTTATCGCCTAGGCCTGGCACTCGGTGAAGAAGTCCGTGGCCCGGTGGAGCTGCCCCACGCACTTCAAGACCGCCTGGACGCGGCATCAGCTGGTGGCCTTCGCCCGCATCATCGACCTCGACACGGCCTCCCGGAGCCCCAGGCCGGCGCAGATCGGGGGATCGGAGGCCGCGGGGACGCGGCTCGTTTGGCTTTGCTGCGTGTTGCCAAGGGATGTTAGGACTAAGTGGGTCTTCCACTAAACCACGAGTCAAGCTTTTAGCAGAGCAGAAAGCAACCGAGGTAAGGGGGATGTGCTCAGAAGCTGTGGAATCCAGGGCTGCCGGACTCTTGATGCAAAGGTGCTGGCCAAGTCCGTTTTGCAAGACATGTGTTGAAGAGGCATGCTAGTGTTCAACGAATCTGGAGGTGGAGAAGTACAAGATATGGGTTGTTGAGAATTGTTGGGAGTCATGCCACTCTTCTAGGAGGCATCCACGTGAGAGGGGCCTTAGGTGTTGAAGCATGCTTTCAGCCCTCCTTCCCTGCACGCGAAACGATCCCACGTATCTTGCAGTTTGTTCAGCCTGCCGTGTCAGCGTTGTCCAGCCTCGTCAGTTGCCAGGGGCATTTGCGGCACCCCTGGCTACATGGCTCCAGAGGAGTACGTGGGACCTTCATCCCCTGCTGGGGATTTGTTTGCTGAAGCTCGGCAGGGAGTCAAAGGTTTGGTGATTTCATTTTCAAGCGTAGCTTTGTGTGCAGCTGGTTTGGCGCATTGAAAAACAAGTGGCTGTGGGTCAAAGTAGGTACCCCAAAAAGAACCCTGGTAAAAGGAAACATGGACTAGAACCTGCGGTCTCCTGGTGGTAATTTTGACCCACAGCCAAGTGCTTCCACCTGCGCAAGCTCCAGGTAGGGGTCATGCTGTACCAGCTCATCCGCTGCGCGTGTCCCTTTCACGACGTCGTGTTTCGGGCCCCGCGGCTGCAAGATAACAAGCTCACACAACGCGGTTTCCCGTTTGTTTATGCAGCTGTGGGTCAAAACCAATGAGATCTCATTTTGTGGTAGGTGCACCACCCATTTTAGAACCTATTTTAGTGGGGATTGGGATGTTCAGTGGGGGGGTACAGGATTTTGACCCATGGCCATGTTTGTTGCTGGGGAGCAGCTATGGCCTATCCATCCAGCCCCGCCTGGTTGGTCGCATGGGACCTCCCAGCTGCTCACGTGTTGGCCCGCCAAGCTTTCTGTATCACTTTCGCATGTCTGATCCCGAAGGATTGTCAAGCAACGAGGCAGAAAGGGTTGCTTCAGTCTGACAGTCTGGTCAAATCCTGGGCGGGTCAGTCAGCGGAGGGCCAGGGCCTGCCACAACGAAGTGAGCACAAGGGAGCGGTTGCTGCATTTGGACGAGCGATCTGCGGCACGAGGAGAAACAATAGGCCCACCAAAAAGACCCAACAAGGTCCTCAGAACTCTTCTAGGAGCTGCGAACAAGCCCTGCAACATACGCTGCGAACGGCAATGCAAGCAATGTATCAAGAGCATTTCTGCGCCAAGCTTTTGTGCTGCACAAGGTTACGCCGCAAAATTAATTCATTGTGATGTTCGACTCGGAGAGAAAGCAGTGCACGTCATGTACTTCCGCGCTGAACAGCTGCGACTGTTTGCATGGAGCTTCATGCTTCTTTCCTGCCTTCTTGCACAGCGGCGACATTCGAGGCAAAGCAACGAAAGCGCACTGAGCGCAACTTCCAATATCCCTGCACGATGAATTACACGGCATTGAACGCAACAGCTGATGGCTTTCCATTTTGCCTGGCAATTGCAGGCGGCAGGCGGCCTTGAATTGGTTCCTAGGGAAAGTCAGGTGCATACACCAATTCAACACAGCAATTCCAACTCAAGAGTGCTCGATTCATGTCATTGGCACGCTGGGCACCGGCGCACGCGCATGGCAGGCAAGACGATGCAACCGTGCATGTGCAGAAGAGAGTATGTCATATGACCGGACATGGCGGGTGCCTTCAACACTCGGAAGCATGCATCACCAATAGGAGTGCGCTGCTGTAGGCCTGAGGATAGCGCAGGGAAAATAGGGAACGTCCTGAAAACCGATACTATGTCTGGAGTGAACGGAGGATTGTTCCATTGAAGAGCAGCCTGAGGGGAGAGAGACATATCACAAGACTCCAGCAGTGTGATTTATGCGCCGACCGCTGGGGTGACCGATACCCTCACCAGACACACCAAAGATCGCATGGTTGCCTTTGTCAGAAGCCTCTGGATTGAATTCCGGAAGAAGAAAAAATGTAAACCGGGCAGACGACTGTTGTTTCATGGCGCGCCCGTGAATGATGCCAACGCTTGGAAGCGTTGTCATTTGCATGGCCATTGCATTTGAACACACGGCGCCTTGCATGACGTCGGTCAGGTGCTGCAGGGCAGGGCGCTTGATGCGGCCAGTGCCCACACAAGAGAACAGATCGCTGCTGCTGTTTCCTCGGCGGCAGCTTGCCTCTGGCGTAGCTTGTTTTTCCACGTGCAACGATGCCATTTTTCCCAGATTGGTTTTCCATGTTGGGTCGAGTTGGCCATTCATCGAGTCAGTCAACGAGTGCGTGTCCTCTAGTTGTGATTGTTTTATGGCTCCCCTGGGCAAGTCCTCCTCCCCCCCTATTAACAAAGTCGCTTTGTTCTTTTTCAGCATTATCATTTCCCAAACCTCCGGGTCTCCAGTACTACTTTAAGAATAGGCCAATTCAAAACCAATACTCAACTCTGGGATTTATCGCCCAGACCAGGGGCCAAGTAGTCCGGGACCTACAGCCAACTGAACAACCAAGAATCTTCGGCACATGCTGTCTGCAAAGACTGTCTTGCTTCTACAAGGTCTGCCTGTCTACCTTCCTAGCACTGCCAGTTTAAGAAGCTCGGCGACCTTGCACTAGTCTACGCTGACCGAAACCAAACAGAATCAGAAGAGAATCAGAAGAGTCGTTCACTTTCATGTGCTGCAACCCAATTGAAAAGCTCCGTTTTAGGCCCGCTTCCAGGGATGAGTAGGGAGCTGATCTGACCCCTAATTACCCTATTAATGAGTGTCGTCTTGTCCCCCAGCCAGTATGTCTTGATTGAGGGGGTCCGCGTTTATTCTTAGGGGGAAGAAATTGGTAGGTGATGTGTTGTTTCCAGTATGTCAAAGCCGGAAGGCGGGAAACGCACACAATTGATAGACTAGGGTATCGTTAGAAAGCAGCACAGCTACCTGCGGGTCCGTATTTTTTAAAAAAAATGATGGTTTGTCACGTCATGGGAACATTTGCGCCCTAGCTGAGGTCAGCCAAATCGACTGGGGCGCAAATCCCTGGCCGTTTCTGCCCAAAGCTCGGGACTTGTGCCAGCAGCTTTTGCAGGCAGATTCCCGGCAACGAGGTGGGCAGTTGCTGAGATGAAGGGATAGGCCAGAGGTATTCGTTCATTTGGACTTTGGGTGGTAGACATGTTTGCTAGAAGGTTGAGCGGTAAAGGTGTCCGTGTCTCTCTGTGTGTGTGTGTATGTGTTTGTGTGTGTTCACTTGGCAGGGGTCAGCGTCAGGGAACTCTTCTGCTTTGCCAGTCTTTGCAGGATTAGATTCTTGTATTTGGGTTCTAGCCTTGCTTTAATACGGCCTCAGCCCAAATGAGCGGCAGCCGGGTGTGCCGGGATGTTGTGAGTGTTTGCGCCTCATTGTCATGAAAGAGCTCTGTTCAAGCTGGTTCTAGAAAGGCTGCGCATGCAGGTGGCACAGCAGCCACTGTTTTGACCTCTTCCCCGTGGCTGAATCGCAGAGTTGGCCGGCATCTGAAGAAGCTGGTGAGAAAGGCGACTACTCAGATTAGTGGCCCTTCGCCAACGTCTCCCACGTCTCCCACGTCTCCCACAGCTCCAGCTGCTTCTAAGCCCATGCGGGCGTTGTCCATGAGCAAGACCTATAGTCTTGATAAACGGCCTGGCCAGTGAGGCCGCGCTCTTTGTTAAACAAAGGGCGCCAAGGGGCTCGATAGCGCAAAGCAGAGGCGTGAAAACTGTGGGGGAATTCGAAATCACCGCTTGGAGCGAGTAGGATCGAGCTGCAGCTAGCGACTTCATAGGCATTTCGAGGACCCTCCCGTCCGGTCGTCGGCACCAGGCAGAGACGACGCCACCCGAGATCATCCGGCAGCTCAGCTCAGCTCGCAGGTGACTGTAGCTTTGGCCATGCGGCTTGCAGGCGGCACTATCGTCGCTTGGCCCGGGACTGCCATCCGGACAAGCACCCGGACAACGTGGAGGAGGCCACCCGCCGGCTCGGGGCCCAAGAATGAAAAGCCTGGATGCCCTGAACTCAGGCGGCTTTTTTGGGGGGGGCGACCGAGGTTTCAGCAGATCACCGAGGCTTATGAGGCCGTGCGGCTTCCAGGGGCTGAAAAGTGAACCATGGATTCTTGGCACACCCAGCACGGCAGGTCATTGCCAATCGGCTGAAGCTTTAGATGCCCAAAAGATCTGCTCGAATCAGAGTGTGCGTAGGACCCTTGTAGCCCCGTGTGGCAGGGCAAAAGCCCCTCACTGGCGCCATCTCCAGAGAGCAAAACAGGGACAACTTCAAACAGCCTGCAGCGAACTGTGAAAGCCTGGCGCATGAAGACTGGCTCAAAGTCAAGCCAGAAGGGCATTCTTTGTGAAGCACAATAGCAGACAGCACTGTCAGCCAAGAAAAGGCATGATATCGCACAAGGGTGGACACACGCATGTATTGATATAAGTAGATGCATATCCACATGCAGCAAGCCTTTTGGGTGAAAAGCAAGCATGACAAGTGTTGAACACTTGTGACGATGTTGTTTGCATATGAAGACTCTGCATGACTGCTGCCGAAATTGGAGACAGCTGTGTGCGCATCGTTGTCACGGACATTGCAGCAGAGGTGCGCATCACATCTTCAGGGGGCCGTCAGCATTTTTGCAGCTGCTTCCGAGGTGATAGGAGAGTTCTACTTGGAGAAGTCCTGCCAGGAGAGAGTTCGAAACTTATTTGCCCATGTGGGATGGCTTCAGCAGGTTGCCACTCTCCGGCAACGAGTGCAAGAGTTGAGCAGCGTGCCTGTCTATGAGCAGCACTTAATCTGCGGCAACACGGCCGGCGCCTGAAGATCCCATGGTCCACAGCTCTCACTGGGCCATCGCCAGGTCTTGGGTGACGCGCTGTTTCTCAGCGATGTGGCATGCGGCCATGTGCTGGAGCCCCCTTGCCGCACGTAGCTTTGACCCAGGAGCTCCCAGTTGCTTCACTGGCCACGTAAATTCTTCGCACATGATGGAAACTTGTGGCCCTTTGCAGGGTGTGAGGGTCATTGCAGCTTGGCACTTGGCCATCTGAGGGTCACGCTGTTGCGAGTACCCCAGCCCTGCGCGGTAACAGCGGGCTCCCTGGCTGAATCAATGCAGGGCCTATGATAACCCCCACCCCACCAGGGCAGAAATGACTAGTCCCGAAGGTTGGTGTCTTGCCAGGGTGCCCCAGCGGAAGCAGGTTCTGATGGCAACTTCATGGTGTGGGACCTTCGTGATGGTCATTGCTGCCGTTATCTGCCCTTCAGCAGCCCCGTGCTGTGCCTATCAGTGGACACGGCCTGAGACATGTTCGCAGAACGGTGCGCATGGCATCAGATTCCTCGTAGGCAGACCATGCCCTTCCCTAGGATTGGGCCGTGCGGATCTTGCTAACAGGCCACACAGACTGCTTTTGGAGGTGGGCCTAGCCTACGGATTGGACACGCTTTGGCGTGAAAAGGAAAAAGCAATGCCTCGGGGTTGTGGGAACATGGCACGTGAGCCACAGTCAAAACCAGGGTAAATAGTCCCAACCATAAATGGGTGCAGCCGCCTTTGTAATTCCTGACGTGGTTCTGGGTAGACCATGTTAATACTGGGTTTTGATTGTGACTCGCGTGGTCCTGGGCTGCCTTGAGCAGGTTGTGGGACCTGGATCGTGGTGCATGCCTGCGAGAGATGAGTGAGCCGAACACGGCACCGAGATGTGCCGCGCACTGAGACGCGCACTCAACTGACTGGCAAGGCATTGGTTGAGCAGATTTGACCATGGATTGCCAAAGGTGGCCTTCGATTGGGACGGCAAGATGGCTGTGACCGGAAGCGCTGCAATGTTCGTCTGCGAAGGGCTCAAAGATGCAGTTGCATGTGTGCTGTGAGTCGGAAGCCTAAGCTTGAGCCTTCCTAAAGGGGAAGGCGTTTCATTTCAAACCCAAAACTCCAGCTTCGCCGAGGCTGCATGCCAGGTCCCCCCACGCCAACTTTGGCATTGTGGGATTTGGCGGCGGGGAGGTACATCCAAGGCAGGGCACAGTGTGTGGCCAAAGTACGACGTGTCATGTGCATTTATTTGATACATTGGTTCAAGCCGCGCGCTCGTCAGTGCGTGTCGATGTCTACTTCCAGGCTGGTCTTCAGGAGGGAGCATCAAGTGTCTATCAGCAGATTGGGCCCAGCGGTGTGCTCAGCAGGGATGCTATCCAGGGTTGTTCTTGCACAGTGGGTCGGAAATGGAAGCCCATCGGTTGCGCGTCAAGCTTTCTTTGGCGCTGCCAGGCTCCTGCCACCAATACGTGCATAAAGCATCATGTTGAGTGAGCTCCGCATGTGGCCTCTCAAAGCTGGGAAGCAGCGGGGCCAGCAGCCGTACGTACACAACTCATTTGACGCTTCCTAGCTTCCACTGGGCCGCAGATGAAAGATGTGCAAATATTGAAATGAAGCTTTGATGAAGTTCCAGCGTGCTCAAAGACACGTGAATCCACTTTGCACAAGGTAGAGGTTGATGTCTTCAGCACAATAGAAGTTTGCGTGCACATTTGGACTTTGCTGATGTGAAGGCACGTCCACTCCAGACAGGTTGCCCTTATGTTACTTATGCTGCATTGACGAATCATACAGATAATGCCCTCGCAGCCTTGTATTGATGCGCATGTGTGGCAGCCTGTCTTCCAAACGGCTCCCGTTGTTCGAAACAATAAGCCAGCAGCTCTTTGTCGACATGCCTAGCGAAGTCAACTCCGTGTAAACGTGTGTTTTTTTCCCCCGAGTAATGAGTAGCGCTTCTGGTGAGAAACGCGAGGCATTGCAAGGGCGGAACGGCAGCTGAGGTGCCAGGTGCTGGTGGCTGGAGGTTCTTTGGAGCTCTTCGACTTCGACAAGCGGCAGCTCCAGTGGGAAGCAACTCCCCGGGATCCAGTGCAGGTCCCATGCTTCAGCTGAGCTTTTTGTGTGGGCCAGCCATTTGTCCCTTGACACATTGACGCCAGGCGATGGCTGTGGATTGGCCGTCGCAAACAGTTCTCCGACTTAGCGAAAAGATGGTGGCAGAGTGTGAAAAACAATATGGGTATGGCTCAAAATTACAGAGCTGGGGTTACGCGGGTTTTAGTCTTTGGTTCCATTTACCAAGGTGCCATTTTGGTACCACTTCTTGAGCCACAGCCATATTGCCAGGGCATGTGAATCATTCAGCGCTGAAGAATGTTACACGTGCAGATCAAGTCAGAACCAGTGCTGCTCGCAGCGAGCTGAGGCAATCACTGCTGGCTTGGACAGCATCCAGGTGTGGAAACTGGATCGCCAGGAGTGCATCCAGGACGGGTTAGCGCCAGGAAGTGGGTGGCAGTTGCCGAAACTCAAGGCTTGCTAAGCAAGTTGAGGGAGTTCCTTGGTTGTTCAGCAGGTTTGCAGGGCATGTGGATCCTGATCCTGGGATGTCCTGGGAGGGCTTACCTTTTTGACAGGGTTTGCACGCTTGATTTGCTTGAAGGCGTGTCCACGAGAAAACGCTCACTCA